CCATCTTATAGATAAAAGGCACGGAGAAATTCAGCAACTTGCCAGAGTCACACTGCTAGAAAAGGGGGACGAGCTAGGATTTGAACCGAGGCAAAATTTGAACTCCCAAGGGACCTCCCAGGAAGACCTCTGGGAGAGTGGACCAGTACGGAGGAAGGCAGGGGCGCATCTGAGTCGGGGGCTGGTGAAGAACAGCCTGCGCGGGTGGGAACCTCCTTGCTGGCGTGCCCCTGAGGCCCTTTCACAGCTCAGTGAGATGATTCAGGCTGAGCAGCGAGTGTAGATTTTATTGGGAGAGAGATGGACTGCTGTCAGCGGCTTCTGCACAGAGGAGAGACATGATCTGACTCAAGCTGCTGCGGGAAGAACGGACTGGAGTCAGGTGGTGGCAGGGCGGGCGCAGGGAGACCGGGAGAAGGCTGCTGTCACAATCCAGGTAGGACAGGACCAGGTGGAGGGCGGAGATGGCCGCACGTTGCAGCCTGCCAGTGCCCTACTTATTAATCCTAGCAGAGAAGTACAATCTGGGAGCTTTTCAACTGGTGGCTTTTGGTCAAGTCTTCAGAGCCAGAAATGTGACGGTAGGCCACCTGTCTCCAGTGCGGAAGAAAACGAGGACTTCTGGGCCACACTCTCTCTTGTCTCCAGCAGAGGGCGCTGTGGGACAGCGTCCGCAGGATTCAAAGGCACTGATCCTGTGGGTCTGTGAGTGGAAATTCACAATCCCAGGGCCACCCAGATTCACAGAGCAAAGCATCCATATCATGGCTTTTCATGATCTATTTCAAGACTATCCTACCTATGATAAGAGAGCTGTTTGTTTATAACTGGGAACTCCCAACCATGAGATCATCTCCTTTCCATGCCTCTTGCCCAGGTCCTGTTTGGCAAGGGCAGGCTGTGTGTTTAGAGGCAATGTTGTGACATGTTCTTTTTGCTGTCTCTTGCGTCTGTTGACTTAGGGTGAGCGTGTTTTTCCAGTTAACACTAAGCCGTCTCAGTCTTTTAAACTGTAGCCCCACGTGTGTTTCATGTGCTCACAGCAGTCCCCTCGGGGGAGGATTTTTTTTCCCTGTCCTGCTGTAGACCAGGGAGTCATCTTGCAGTGATGCTGGAGCTGCGGTGCCTCACCCAGGACATGGCGTAGCCTGGCAGCCAGCAGTGCTCTGTGGATGGGAGCCTGAGCTAGAGTCAGTGAGGACGCGCAGCAGGGGCTCTCAGACAGGGCTGGCGGGTGTAAATGGGCACAGCCACTTGGAAAACTGCTTGGCAGTTCCATAAAAGTGAAAATTAACATGCCTGGTGACTCAGCAATTCCTCTCCTGAGTATAAACCCAGACGCAAATGTGTTCATGTGCTCTGAGAGGTGCTTCCATGAATGTTCCTAACAACACTGTTTGCAGTTGTCAAACACTGGAAGCAGCTTCCACGCTCATCAGCAGTAGGATGGATTAAATCCATCGTGGTGGAAACAGTATTCTCTTGCAGCAACCTGGTCCCATCTCATAGCTGTGGCATTGTGAGAAAGAGGCCAGATAGAAATGAATACAAACACTTGAAGCTCAGAAACAGGCAGAAATACATCATGGTGCAAAGAGTTACGATAGGATTGCTCTTGTTCTTGTTTAGTCACTGAGTCATCCCCGACTCTTTGCAGCCCCATGCATGCACTATGGCCTGCCAGACTCCTCTGTCCATGCGATTCTCCAGGCAGGAATGCTGGGGTGGGTTGCCATTTCCTTCCCCAGGGGATCTTCCTGACCCATGGATTGAACCCACGTCTGGCACTCTGGGAGGTGGAGTCTTTAGCACTGAGCCACCAGGGAAGCCTAGGGTTGCTTTTAGGGAAGTGAAAAGGGACACAAAAGAGTTTTTTGGAGACTGGCAGTATGTTTCTTCATCTGGGTGGTGATTGCCTAGGTATTCACTCTGTGCTAATTCCTTGAGCTGTACTTAACATGTGTGGTGTACTCTTCTGGAGTACATTATATTTCAGAGGGAAAAAATTACTCAGAGAAAAATCATGGGCTCTGGAGATGTCACACCTAGGGTGGAATCCTGGTTCAGCCACTTAACTGCGGTGACCTTGGATAAGGCACCTAGCCTCTTAGAGCTTCACTTTTCTTATCAGTTAAAGGGAGATAGTAACATTCCCCTCCCCCAACAGACCTATACATATACTAGTAGTTATAACTACTATCATGCCTGAATACGGTGCAGTTGAACTATGCTTTCATAAATGTGACTTGTTATTAAGCTATATCTGTTAGAAATTACTTTGTCTGCAAAGTAACAGGAAACATGACTATAGCTAAAACAAATATGGGGTTATTTTAATTATCTAACAGGAAATCTGGAGGTAGGAAGTGACAGGGACTGACTTCTTTGTCATCTTGTTGTTGTCTCATTCCTAATGATCCCAGGGTGGCTGTTGCAGCTCCAGACATCTTATCCTCATACCAGCGTCCTTAGAAAAAAATGAGCAGGTGGAAAGGGGCTTTTTAAACCAGGGAAGAAAATCTTTCACCAGGAAAGAGAATCTGCCACAGATGTCTTCCCCAAGCTGAATTTCCTTCTCGTGTCATGGCCTGGATCTAGTCATGTGGCCACCTGTAGGAGAAATTTGGAAAGCAGCATCTGGGGAAGGGGAATGCAATGGCCATGATTGGCTTGACTAAATGTTTTGTTTTTTTTTTTAAGCAGTTTAGACAATGTATATTTCATAATTTACTGTTACATTCCATCAGGATATTTGTTATGACAGTCCAGCAGCTAAAACATGTATCTTTGGAAAAAAACTTCAAATGCTTAGTTTTGTAATGTATAAATATAATGCACATAACAAAGATACAGCAAGACACCTCCACCTACCCACAAATTGGAAAAGACCCTGATGCTGGGAAAGGCTGAGGGCAGGAGAAGGGGGCGACAGAGGATGAGATGGTTGGATGGCAACATGGACTCAATGGACATGAGTTGGAGCAAACTCCGGTGAAAGACAGGGGAGCCTGGGCGTGCCACAGTCCGCAGGGTTGCAGTCAGACATGACTGAGTGAACAACAGCAGCAACCCAGAAATCGCTACATTTCTGAAACACCTCTGTATTGGCCACAGTGCTTTCAGCTCTGAGAAAACTGAAGTCTGTGAAGTGCCAGCTAGTAACTGTCTTAAGTTCTGTGGGGCATTGGTCTTCTTCAGACTATTGAACTCTGCTAATTTAGTGTGCAGGTAGCCACAGGTAAAACAAACGAGTGTTTTTTTTATTAGTGTTCTAATAAAACTTGACATTATAGACACTTAAGTTTTAATATCATATACATTTCACATCACACGATATTCTTTAATTTTTTCAACCATTTAGAAATTTAAAACATTGCAGGCAGTGGGCCAGATCCAAATCACCTGTGGAAAAACATACAACCCAACCAAAGCAAGGCACTGCAGCAGTGAAATGGGTGAATGCTGGTAACCAACCTTTTATTTATTCATTTTGCAGCATAGTTCAAAAAATACAAATTATAATGATGATAGTACCTAACATAGAGCCCTTCCTGTGTCTCAAACACTTATTCTAAGGACTTCAAAAATATTAACTCATGTACACCTCAAAGCAATCCTAACATATTGTTATTATCACTTCTTTTTTATAGAAAAGGAGACTGAGGCACAGAGAGGTTGATTGCATGCCTCATGATAGAATCTGAGCCTGGGCAGTTGGAGTCCCGAGTCCACGCTCTTAACCTCTGTGTCATGTTGCTTCTACTAAAAAGATAAAGGTAGTGAAGACCATGTAGGATTCTCATATAACTCAGCTGCGGTATAAATTGCAACCTGCTCTGCAGCCTGCTAAATATCAGTTCAGCTCTGCAACCTGCTAAAACAACACTAACATATTTCTTTCTGTAGTATTACTTTTTTATTGTGTAGGGTGTTTTCAGCTTTTTTTAAATGTAACTTGTTGTTTAGTTGCAAAGTCATACCTGACCCTTTTGTGACCCCATGGATTATAGCCCACCAGGCTCCTCTCTGTCCATGGGATTTCCCAGGCAAGGATACTGGAGTGGGTTGCTGTTTCCTTTTCCACTGACTAAAGGTTTTAAAATCTGACTGCACATCAGAATTTCCCAAGAAATATTAAAAAAGAGAATAGGTTTGTAAACATACAGATATATAAGTGTGTGTATACTGCACACATACATGCATACAGACAGACAAGCCTGGGCCCCTCCACCAACCAGCTGAATCAGAGCCATTGGTGGTGACTTTGACAGGAAACCAAGGCTACAGTTCAAGACCCACGATGGTACTGCTGTCTGGAGCAGGAAGGTGTTTTACCTAAAAGTGCGTGGTAATAGACTTCCATGATGACTCAGACAGTAAAGAATCCACCTGCAATGCAGGAGACTCGGGTTCGAACCCTAGGTCAGGAAGATCCCCTGGAGAAGGGAATAGCTACCAATGCCAGTTTTCTTACCTGAAGAATTCCATAGACAGAGGAATCTGGTGGGCTACAGTCCATGGTGTCTCAAAGAGTTGGACATGAATGGTAATACATGTACATATATTATTGTGACAGTGACAGTAAAAGTGTTTGTTAGCATGCCAACATTGTAGTGCCTGTTTTATTCACTCTACCTTTTATTACCTGATATTATCCACCGCCCCACCTGCGCATCAGCTCCGGGAAGACAGGGGTCTTTGTTTTTTCACCACACTAAAGAGGGCACTGGGACAATATTTGTTGAACAAACAAAGGCTGTTCCATCCACTGTCCCAACACTCCCTGGAAGCTGAGGTGGAGAGATAGGAAGTCATTTGGTCAAGATCTCACAGCCAAGGGGTAGCAAGTTCAAGTTCGTTCAGACCCAGTGCTTTTCAGCCCCAGAGTCCAAGCTTCTGACCATCACACATGTCGCTGTGAGAACAGAACAGCCTCGGGGGCTCTCTCGTTCCTTCCCGCGTCCTGAGAGCCTCGTCTCCCCCCCTTCTCCCTGGAGCAGCTCACCACCTTGAGGGGCTCCATCCTGGAGGACGCCACACCCACCGCCATGAAGCATGGCACCGGCCGGGGCCTGCCCCTGCGGGACGCCCTGGAGTATGTCATCCCTGAACTCAACATCCACTGCCTGCGCCTGGCTCTCAACACTCCCAAGGTGACGGAGCAGCTGCTGAAGCTCGACGAGCAAGGGGTGAGCCGGGGCCCAGGAGGGGTGGGGGCGCAGGGGCAGCAGCCTGCAGCACCACTGCCTGACCCTCTTCCGTCTCACTTTCCTTTTTCCTCCAAAGAACAGAAACCCACTCAGGCTAGTTCCAGTAAGAGGAGGAGCCTTCTATCAAGTTCTAGGGCTGCCAGGAGCCAGCATGTGACTGCTGGGGCTCCCGGGGGAGATAGTCTAGGACTGAGGCAGCCACCGGGTCCGCGTGTGTGTCAGTGCTTCTGCTCCCTCGCTGCATACTGCCTCCCCCGGCTTCTCTGGCCCTCCCACAGCTCCCAGAGCTGCTATTAGGATGAGAGCCTTGTACAGGCCCTGGCTAGCTGACCCTCAGTCCCAGAAGAGCCTCTCACGGCCCCACGCTTAGGTCACGTCACCGTCTGTGGTCCAGTGACCAGGGCATCAGGGACACATAAAACAAACATGGCTACCAGGGCTCACCCCTAAGAAACGCGTCGACCCCACTGAGCCCTCCAGAATTGCCTTTTGCAGAACCTTAGCCAGTTCCAGCCCACATGCTGTGGGAAGCCAGCCAGGGTGACTGTCTTTCCCTCGAGAGCGCCACCCTCCACCCTGTGTAGAAAGTCAGGGCGTGGTGGCGGCGCCCCTTGCCGTGCCTCTCTGGAAACGTGGGGAGGGAGAGGGACAGCTGGGACACGCCCCCACCCCTCTTTTCTTCTCTGGCTACGGCACTGAACCCCCATGTAAGCCCAGCAGCCAGGGGGAGCCCCTCCTGTCCCGCGCCCTCCTCCATCTGTCTGACCTGCCTCCCTGACGCTGCTCCTGCCTCTGCAGCTCTGCCGGAAGCACAAAGTGGGCATCCTCTACTGCAAGGCCGGCCAGAGCTCGGAGGAGGAGATGTACAACAACGAGGAAGCCGGCCCGGCCTTTGAAGAGTTCCTCTCCCTCATCGGGGAGAAGGTCTGCCTGAAGGGCTTCACCAAGTACGCCGCCCAGCTGGACGTCAAGAGTAAGTGGCCGCAGTGGGTGGCCTGGCAGGGGGAGCTCTAACCAGCCCACTTATCCCACGGGCTTAGTCCTGGTGATGCCCTCGCAAGGACACTGGGCAGCAGGCACTCAAGGCCTCGGCGGCGCAGGCACTCTGGATGAGTGTCGCGTGTTCTAGTAAAGCCTGAAGATGGTCCTGCGCTGTGTCTCAGCACCTGCGCTCCCAGACGCGTGCTCTGAGATCTCGAGCACGTGCGTGCCCAGGGGGGTCCTGAGGGGTCACAGCCACAGACACCTGCGTGGTGCCACTGTGCCCGAGGACCCAGGGAACACAGCGCTCCTGGCCAGTCTCCCAAATCGCAGCCACTGGGAGACCACCTGGCCCTGGTGCTGGCCAGCCATGGCTTCAGTGACCTCACCTGTCACAGCTTGTCCCCTGGGATGTCAGTCCACAAGAGCAGGCACTCCTCGGTCTGTCCTGCTGCTTCCCTCACACCGCCTTAAGTTAAGCTGGGGTCCTAAGGGGCCAAGGCATAGGCCTCCAGGGTGAGTGTGACACCCTGGAGTCAGTTGCAGCACAGCCTGTGGGTTCACTCAGACCTGCAGCAGAAACCACCTCCTGGCTGTCCTGCCCAGACAGGAAGGAGCAGTTCAAGGTGATAGAAGAAAATATGGGGACCCTGACCTTGTATCGGGCCCAGGCCTGGACAGCATGGTGTGTGACCTGAGAGGGGTGAGTTGGAATAAAATAGACAAAGAAGGGGCAAGAAACATGTTCCAAGAAAAAGGAGCAGCACATGAGAAAGCCCTGAGGTCCCAAGCTTCAGGGAATAAATGGCAAGGATGAGCTGAGGGGCAGGCAGGGGCCTCACATGCAGGACCTTTACTGCTGAAGATCAGTGATTTGGGTCTCTTTCCTAGGAGAATTTTGAAACTCATAAGAGGCAGCATTGAATACTATTAAGAAAACATTCTGGAGACTTCCCTCATGGTTCACTGGCTAAGACTCCACACTTCCAGTGCAGGGGGCACAGGTTCAATCCCTGGTCAGGGAACTAAGATCCTGCATTCTAGGTGGCCCAGAAAACAACAAAAAAGAACAATGCATGGCATGTCCAAAAATTTTTAAAAAAAGAAAACACTCTGGAGTCAGATAGTCCAAGTTCCAGTTCAAGCCCTACCACTCACTGTAGTGTGTAAGCCCTGGGGTGAGTCACTCCATCCGTGTGCCTCAGTTTCCCCCTTTGGAGTCCATAATCAGGGGTGTTTCTCCCCAGTCATAACACCCTGCCGTTAGAGAAGAACGTGTCTCGACGCTCAGGATTATCATTTCCTTCTTCATAGTTTTGCAGTCTACATATGCATCTCTAAATAATATAATCCATTTTGCCTGTTTGGGCATATAACATGAATAGAATTATACAGTTTGTGCTCCTTTGTGTCTGGCATCTTTTGTTCCACATTGCATTTGTAGGATTTGCCCATGTGGTGGCTGTGACTCATTCATTTTCATGGCTGTGTATTTTTCCACAGTATGAATTGTTTATCCCTGGGACTGACATATTGAGAACAGCTGTACCCATGTCCTGGGGCACTCATGTATGATTTCTCTAGGCTGTGATCCTAGGAGAGAAAGTGCTTGGCTCATCAGTGAAGCCTGTCTGCAGGTTCAGTAACCATTACTAAAGTTTTCCAAAGTGACTGTACCAATTTACACACCTCACCAGCTGCACAGAGGGTTCTGGTTGCTCCACACCCTCCCCAGCCCTTGGCACTGTCAGACTTTGAAATGTTTACCAGTCTGGTGGGTGCTTAATATAAGATTTCCTTTTTATCTTAATTTACTGAAATTTTATTGTTGCTGCTGCTGCTGTTATTGTGGCTGTGTGACATGTGGGATCTTCGTTCCCCAACCAGGAACCAGACCCACGTGCCCTGCGTTGGATGGACAGTCTTAACTACCGGACCACCAGGCACATCTCTAAATTTACTGAGCTTTAAAGAGTGAAGTTAAATGAAAACATCGACTTAAAAACTAACACAGATGGCGTGTGGGACATGGCAGGAGCCCAGAGGTTTTGGAGACGTGGTGCTTAACTGGTGTTTCTGTTTCAGCCGACTCCACAGGAACCCACTCCCTCTACACGACGTACCAGGACTACGAGATCATGTTCCACGTCTCCACTCTGCTCCCGTACACCCCCAACAACAGGCAGCAGGTCAGTGGGGCCCAGGGTGGGGGCTCCAAGTGACTTCTGGTTGATGCACAGCTGAACCCGAGGCAGCTTCCTTCCCCACGGCCTTTGGCTGGCTACCCGCCCGGCACTGGCTCTCCTGGCACCATCTCGTGCAGCAGGTGGAGGCCTTCGGCCCTGGAGACCCTCCCTACCGCGGTCTCATCGCCTGGGGGTTGGAGACTAGGTCAGGTGTCACTCTGTGTCACTTTTTTGTTCTGGCTTTTCCTTGGCCACCCTGCTACCCCATCTCCTCTCTAGGGTCTCTTGAGTCATCAGGGGTCCTGTGGGGAAAGACCCAAGTGAATCAGTCAACATTGTATTTTGACTGTAAGTGACAGAGGTACAAATCAAATCAGCAAAAGCAAACAATGAGATTTACCGAGTTATATAATTCTCAAGTATAGTTCCAATATTTTGGCCACCTGATACAAAGAGCTGACTCATTGAAAAGACCCTGATTCTGGGAAAGACCAAGGGCAAGAAGAGAAGGGAGCAACAGAAGATGAGATGGTTGGATGGCATCACTGACTCAATGGACATGAGTTTAAGCAAACTCTGGGAGATAGTGAAGGACAGGGAAACCTGGCCATGCTATAGTATATGGGGTCGCAAAGAGTCGGTTGGACATGACTGAGCGCCTGAAGAACAGTTGTCAAGTACGGGGAGAGGACTGGCTTTAGGTATGGCTGGATCCAGGGGCTCAGACAATATCAGGAGTTCTTCCCGTTTCTCACCTCTGCTTGTATTCTTAGTGGTTGTATTCACAGATCTTCCCAAGGAGTGGCACCTTACATCCCAGCAGCTTAGCTCCCTCAGGAGAAAGAGAGCTCTGCCTTGCAAGTGTCCCAGAAATGTTTCCGGGCTGAGTCTCATTGCACCACCCACTTGCCAGGCCCAGGGCAGGGATAGGATGGACTGATTGGCCAAACCTGAAGCGTGTGCCCACCCCTAGAGAGCGCCAGTGAGAGGTGCTTTCCCAAAGGGGATGGACACGGCTGCCTGGAGGGGGAGGAGGTGCTGGGTGGGCACAGCAGCTGCTGCGTGCCGCCAGGCCGCCTCTCCTGGACACGCCGTGCATGTCCAGGAGCACTTTCTCATGAACAGAAACCCCACAGGCTTTTGACAGTCTAGGAAGTGTGTGTATTTTTTCCTGTTGGTTTGGGGTTTCCCAAGTGACTCAGTGGCAAAGAATACACCTGCCAATGCAGAAAGCCTGGGTTCAATTCCTGGGTCAGGAAGATGGTCTGGAGTAAGAAGTAACAACCCACTCCAGTATTCTTGCCTGAAAAATCCCATGGACAGAGCAGTTTGGTGGGCTACAGTCCATGGGGTCTCAGAGTCAGGCACAGCTGAGCACGCACACCACACCACCGCATGTGACAGTGTACAATCTGCTGGCCAAAAATGGTCAGACATCAGTGATTTTTAGAACGTTCACCTAGTAACAGCTGGAGGAGCATCGCTCTCGTTGGACCCGAGCTGCCTTCTCTGTCTGCCACTTCCTCAGTGTCATCTCCCCTCCCTGGGCCTCAGGTCCCGCCTCTGAAATGGGCAGAACAGTAGCACCCACATCTCAGGGTCACTGGGCAAGGACCCTGCACTTGTGTGTGAAACCGGAGCTCCTGGCAGGGCCCAGGCCGGGAGGTACTCAGGAAGCAGCTGAACGTGCTCCCGGAGGCGTGGTGGGGAGGGCTTGGGTTCTGGGGTCTCGCAGAAGTGGGTTCAACTCACAGCTCCCCCCTCCATGACCCTGGGCTGAGGGCAAGACGTTTAACCCCCGTGAACCTAACTTTTCTCATCAACAGAAGGTCAGATGAATTAATCCCTCACAGGACTTGTGAAGGTGACATGAGGTTACCCACATGTACCCACATGTTACCCACAGCTTTCACATGTGGGTGGACGACGCCTGGTTCAGGGCTGGTCACAATAAATGGGCACTTCAGCAGTTGAGTTTGGTCCTCTGTATAAAACACAGAGAGCTACCAGTCCGGCAGGGTGTGTTGTGCCGCTACGTGCGACCAGATTTCACACTCCCGGCCACCTCACATAGAGTTGCACGCGACCCCCCGCATTGGCGGGAATTCCTAAAGGTTATATGAAGACTAAACTTCTATACCTAAGAACAATGTGGGACTTCCCTGGACATCCAGTGATTAAGACTCTGCACTTCCACTGCAGGGGACGTGGGTTCGATCCCTGGCTGGTAAACTAAATCCCACATGCCCACACGGTGTGGCCAGAAAAAAAAAAGAACAATGTAATTTTAGCAAGGAAGTAAAATGCCAAGAGTACATCATCGCCTTTAAAGATGACAGTTTTTCTCAGAGGCCATGACATGCAGGGGGGCCATGACAGGGTTCCTGTGGGCTGATCTGAGGCTATCACCCCAACCTTCTCAACTCGGGTAGCCAGAGATGGGCCCTGCCAGTGGTGCCGAGGCTGCCTCTGCCAGTGTCCATGAATGTGACCTTGAGCAAGTCAGAAGCTGCCAGACCATGCTGTCCTCCAGCTGAGATTTATTGAGCACCTGCTGTGTGCCAGGCCCCGCTCTGGGCACTGAGGATAAAGCACCTGGCCGTGAACAAAGCAGACAAAACCCTTGTCCTCCAGGAGGTGCTGCGTTAGTGGGAAAGACAGAAACAAAAAGAAGAGGCGTAGCCGCTTGTTAAGATGAGTGTGGACGAGTAACACACTGTTACTTAAGTGACAAGGGCAGAAGAGCAGAGGGGGTGCAATCACGGGTAACAGACAGGCAGGGCCTCGTGGGAGGGTGGCATTTCAGCCCAGACCTGAAGGAGGGCAGGCGGGAGCGAGCCACGTGGGGATCTGGGGGAAGGAGTTCCAGGCCGCAGGATGGTCCACAGGAGCCTCAGGGAAGGAAAGGTTTCTGATTCATTCAAGGAGCAGCAGGAGGCTGGTGTGGCTGGGGCAGAGGGGGAGCATGGCTGGAGCCAGCAGAGAGGTGACGGGGCGGGTCATGAACCTGAGCCTACCCTGACGTTTTCCTCTCCCCCACCACCAGCTGCTGAGGAAGAGGCACATAGGCAACGACATCGTGACCATCATCTTCCAGGAGCCCGGGGCGCTGCCGTTCACCCCCAAGAACATCCGCTCCCACTTTCAGCACGTCTTCATCATTGTCCGGGCCCACAATCCCTGCACTGATAACGTCTGCTACAGGTACACGCCCCGCCCCCGGCATGCACAGGAAGTCAGGAAAGCTGGTTTCCAGCGTCCAGGGAGCATGGAGGTGGGAGAGGGAGGGCACGGCTGGCCGCCTCCCACGTTTCTTGTCCGTGCTTCAGTAGGGGAGCTCTACTCACTCATTCCTACACCTCCTGAGAGAGTGGTTCTTAACCAGAAAGGGGCATGTCATCCCAGTTTCGACAAAGAAACCATCAGGAATTTGTTTTTGCCTGGAGTCTTTTGGTTGCAAGTGACAGAAAACCCACCTCAAAAAGGCAGCCACAGGGCTTCCCTGGCAGTCCAGTGGTTAAGACTGTGCGCTTCTAGGATCCCACATGCCTCGTGGTGCATGAAAAGAACATAAATGAGTGAAGAGGCAGTCTTACATGCTGGCTATCATAAATGACACAGTCAGGCCCACCTGGAGGTGTTCCACTTCCCTGTACATCATTTCATCTGCTGGCAGCTCCAGGCTTAGCATCTTGCCAGCTGCAGACCCAGCAGAAAGAGAGCCTGCCTTTCCCAGGAAAAGAAGCCCCAGAACTGAGGCTCACTAACCCACATATGGTCACATTCCCATCCCAGAGCAAGACTAGCACCTGTCCTGGGCACGAGGTGTGTGGCTGAGGGGGACCAGAGTGTGGCCCAAAGGAAGACCAGAAGATGCAAGGATGGAGGCAGGGTAGACAGCAGTGCCCCCCTTGGGCGGCAGTGCTGAGGGTTCTTAATTTGAAGATCAATAAGTGACAAAAGGGACTTCCCTGGTGGTCTAGTGGCTAAGGTTCCACAGTCCCAGTGCAGGGGGCCTGCGTTCAATCCCTGGTCAGGGAACTAGGTCACTCATACCACAATAAAGACCCAATGCAGGCAAATAAATAAATAAACACATTAAATAATACTGTGTTACAAACTTAAGTCCCATTCAGTGTCTTCCCCAAGCACCAGTCTCACCGGAGGACATGGCCAGCCCCCACAGGACAAATGGAAAGTGCTCTGGGTGTGGGGTGAGGAGAGTGCTGTGGTTCTTGAAAACCAGCCCATCAATAACCTGGGCCCAGGGCCAAGGTCTACACTGGTCCCTGGTCAGCATCGCAGACCAGGCTTAGGACTGTTAGTTTACATTTAAAGAACAAAAAAAAAGTTTGAAATTAGATACAAAAGGTAAAATTTTTTTAAGTTAAAGATCAAAATTCACCTTTCATCTCTTAAGTCCTCACCATCCCATTGCCGTCACAGAGGCAACTGCTCTTAGCACTTTCTTGATAACCTAGACCCATTCAGGCAAATGTGTGCAAGTATTCCTTTTCCACCTTTTTAATACAAGTTGTATCATATCCCACACACTGTTCTGCATCCTGCATTTTTTCACTCAGCAGCCTTTGAGAACTTTGCACTCCAGTCTTTAAAGTGTTTTTCCCTTCTTCATAACTGTGTATTATTCCATCACATAGATGCCTAAGAGTCTCCCCCTATCCCTTAGTGATGGGTATTGGGGTTGTTTCCTGTCACCTATTACTACATTCCCCCTTGCAGTGCTATTATTAACACATTCCCTCCACGTAGTTTTGTGAGGGAGGGGCGGTTGTTTGTTTATTTTTGGCCATGCTCTGCTGCTTGTGAGATCTTAGTTCCCTGACCAGGGATTGAACCCAGGCCCTTGGCAGTGAAAGCACTGAGTCTTAACCAGTGGACCACACAGGAATTCCCCATAACCTAGTTTAGACGCTCATGGCACACGTGTCCAGATACACAGCTGGGATAGGCGAGGTTCTCAGCATGGAGTTACTGGGCCAAATGGTATGTGCATAGGTGCCCTGGGTGGACTCGTTGGAAGTGCCAAGAACCTACCAGTTTCTTCTCATTTGACTCATTTGAAAAGACCCTGATGCTGGGAAAGATTGAAGGTGGAAGAAGAAGGGGACGACAGAGGATGAGATGGTTGGATGGCATTATCAACTCAGTGGACATGAGTTTGAGTAAACTCAGGGAGTTGGTGAAGGGAGGCTTGGAGTGCTGCAGTCCATAGGGTCGCAAAGTCAGACACAACTGAGCACCTGAACTGAACTAACCAGCTGCTTCTCTGGGCCAGATATGTGAGAGGATGGAGGGGGATTCCAACATGCAGGAAGTGCTGTGGACCACCAGGCTGGATGTGTTGCCGCTGGGAGCTAGCACACCAGGGGGAAGGCCTGTGGCCCCTCCCCCCACCCGTTGCTCCTTCCCAGGACAGAGTACCAGCTCAGAGGGCTTGTGCCCCCAGGCTCCCTGTAGGCCTGAGGTTACAAAGATAGAGTTGTTCTTGAACATGCACACACACGTGCATCAGAGGTAAGAGGCTGCTGGATAAGCCCTTCTCCCCTTTCTCCTAACCACGAGCTCCCCTCTCCTACCTGGCTTATCACAGGAGCCTGCGGCCAGCCTTCATGTGGTTTCCAGAGGGATTTCTTTTTGTTCTGACGCACCAAGCTTTCTTGTTTTTTTTTTTTTTTTTGCAATTCAAAATATTTTCATTATGCAACATTTCAAACGTTCTGAAAAGTACAGAGAATAACAGACACCCATGTGCCCACCACCAGATCTCACAGATGTTAACATTTTGCCGTCTTTGCTTCAGCTCTCGCTTTAATTTTGAAGAAAGAAAATGTTAGAGATGCAACCAAACTGCCCCCTCCCACAACCGCTTTTCTCCCCTCCCTCACACACAGCTGTTCTCTGGACAGACCTTCCCCTGTCCCCTCTTCTCCCCATGACCCCAGACACATTTCTGTCATAGAACTTGTCACACTGTAAGAACTAAGTTTTTGTTTTTGTTTTTGTTTTTTAAGATTTATTTGTTTTATTTTTTGGCTGTGATGGATCTTTGTTACTGCACACGAGCTTTCTCTAACTGTGGTGAGCGGGAGCTACTCTCTAGCTGCAGTGCACGGGCCTCTCACTGTCGTGACTTCTCATGTTACAGAACATGGGCTCTAAGGCTTGGGCTTCAGTAGTTGCTGCTTTCGGGCTCTAGAGCACTAGCTCAGTAGTTGTGGCACACAGGCTTAGTTGCTCCAGGGCAACTAAGAGAGATCTTCCCAGGGAGATCTTCCCAGACCAGGGATCGAACCAGTGTCCCCTCCATTGCAAGGCAGATTCGTAACCACTGGACCACCAGGGAAGCCCCAGGAACAAACTGTTGATGTGGCTGTTGCCTCCCTCGAGGGTCACAGCACGTCACACTTGCCTTCATATATCTGTGCTGGGCAACCTTGTTATGTAAAGGACCCCAGAGATGCCTTGGCAACCAGGCAGATGCCTGACCCAAACATTGTAGGTCCTGGGAAAATAGCTGTTGAATAAATGATTGTGAGTGTTCTAGAAATACTTACTGAGCTCTAGTGACCAGGTGACCCAGTGGTCACACCATCTCCTGGCTGTATAACACGGCACCACCTTTCCCCACGTCATGTGCTTACTTGCTGAATGGCACACCAGCACCCCCACTGCCTCTGGGCTGTGAACACCCCATTCCTCCTGCTGGGGAAATGAGGACCCAGCCGTCCTGATTGTCCAGAAACCTTCAGTAGCTTGCAGTTCCATGATTCTTAAAATCATGAGTCAGGACTGTGGGAGAAGCCAGAATCTGTCACTATGAGCAGTCTAGTCCTGAATGAAGAAATTGCAGAGCTAGTCACAGCTATAAAGCCCAGTCTGAAGGCACCATTAATTAAGAGTGGAGAGACTGGCAAGATCATCTTACACATCCCCTGGCCTGGAGGCAAGGCCACCCCCACAGGGTTTCCCATAGAAGAAAACCTGCCTGGTTTGTGTGGCCTTTGAAGGACCTCTCCCCTGGGAAATGCCTTTTTCTGTCAGACCTACACGTTGGCAGGAACCTGTTTGTTCTTGGTCTGTCCGTTCAAGTCTAAATCATGACTGTAATCAGTACTGAATACCTGTGCCGGCCCTGGGGCGTCCGCATTCCTGGGATGTGGTGGTCTCACTGAACAGTGAGCCAGGGGGCATGGGGCCTGGCCCCCCTGGGTCTGCAGGAGCTCCCTCCACGGTCTCTGCACACACTCTGGCCCCTTCCCTCCCTTTCTTCACGGGGCAGCCACGGTGATCCTTGCAGATGGTCTGTCTGGCACCTGTGTTCATCAGGGAGGGACCCACGGGGAGCAGGTGCCCCCCACTCAGGGTTTTGGTTTTATTGTGTTTTACTTTACTTGGCTGTGTCAGGGCCTGGTTGCAGCACACGTGGTCTCTGTTGCCTCACGTGGGATCTTTCATTACAGTGCGTGAACACTCCAGTTGGGGCGCTTGGGCGCAGTGGTGATGGGCTTAGTTGCTCCTTGGTCGTAGGATCTTAGTTCCCCAACCAGGGATCAAACTCGTGTCCCCTGCATTGCAAGGCGGATTCTTAACCAGTGGACCACAAGGGAAGTCCCCCGCTCAGGGTTTTAACTGAGGGATTAATGAGCAGTGGGCTTCCCTGGTGGCTCAGACGGTAAAGACTCTGCCTGCGATGCAGGGGTTCGATCCCTGAGTCAGGAAGACACCCTGGAGGAGGGCATGGCAACCCACTCCATTCTCACCTGGAGAATCCCATGGACAGAAGAGTCTATGACAGCTACACTCAGTGGGGTCACAAAGAGTCTGACAGGACTGAGCAGCTTTCACTAATAGGTGTGGGTAGGTTAAAAGAACCAGTATAGGAAAGTGAGGCATCCAGGAACCAGCGATAGCAAGGAGCCATTACCCACCACGAGGGATGAGGTCAGAGGGGATGGGAGACATTTCTGGAAACCGGGGAGAAGTGTGGCTCTGGGAGAGGGGCCACCCCTCAGAAGCTGTGGCTGTTGAGCAAAGGACCAAGGACTACAGCCACTGTCCTAGCTCGACAGGCAGGCAGTGCAGAGAAGTAAAGACTCCACCCTCTCTCCTCTCCCCTCCCCTGTATCCTGGCCGGGGGAACCGGGTGAGGTGACACAGCGTGTGGAGACCCACCTTCCGTGGCGCTGGACGGGGCCGAAGATGGCAGAGACTGGATCTGGGGGTGCAGACGGTGACTAGCTGGTCCAGATGGTCGAATGGGTGCTGGTTCCACACTCAGGATGCAGAATGCTTGCTCACTGTCAAGGCGCTGCCGGGCCTGGTCCCTGGTGACCTCACCAGCCTTCCACTCTTTACTCTCTGGGCTCTGGTGCGCCAGCCTCATCTCACCCTGCGTGTGCTCTTTCCTGTTGGATCTTAAACCTCCCCTGCCCGTTGCCTGCAGCACCATCCCCTCCGTTCTCCCTTGGGCTCCTGCTCAGCCTCAGACCCCAGCTTAATTTCTCTTCCTCATCGCGCCACACCCCGAACACTAACTCCCCCGGGCACAGGGAGGGGGCCATCCCAGAAGTGCTGGTCAGACACGCGCCCTGGTCAAGTTGGGTGGAGGGTCAGAAGTCAAAACCTAAACAGCCCTTACACTGTGGTTAGGTTTCATGGATAGGTTTTCATCAAGAATCTCATTACTTTAAAAATTGTCTTACAGTAGTCTCTCCCCAACACCATAATCACAAGCTGACATTTTTATAGAAGGTGAATGCAGTACTCTTTAAGAAAAACCTTCTTTTTAGTACTTCATACTGTTTTTTAATTGTCATTGTGTAAACAGCATAACTCACGCATGGTTATCTCCCGAGGCTTTTTTTTTTTTCTTAATTGGCTACATGACGCAGCATGTGAAATCTTAGTTCCCCAACCAGGGATTGAACCCATGCAGTAGAAGTGCAGAGTCCTAACCCCTGGACTACCAGGGAAGTCCCTGGAGCCTCTTTAAATTAAATGTCTTCCCCTGCTCCCTGGGTTCTCACTCTGGCAGCTGTGATAGCCTTTCTGCCTGATTTTTGAAGTCATCTGCCCTGTAGCCGCTGAGTCTCGAGCTGGTCATTACAGCATCATAACTGAGATTCATCAGATATGAACCCGACTTACCAGCCAGTCTCCTACCTCCCAGCTCAAGGCTGCCTCCACCTGGGAGCCTCGGTGGATGGGGAGCCTGCGTCCCTCTCCTCTGTTTCTCCAGCTTGCACTTCCCCTCCCCCAGGCTCACTGCCAGATGCTGACCTGTCCAGGGTGGGAGCACAAAGAGGAAACAGGAAGCGGGAAATTGTCACTGGAGCTATGGTGACAGTGCCTTTCTACCAGCTAAATAATTTCTGGACTCTGGGCTCTTCGGAGGCTCCCTGCCCTCCTTCCAGAAATCCCAGGCAGGAGCAGCCCCCAGTCTCCTTCCAAATGTAAGGGTCACCAAGGAGGCCCCTATTCAGGGAGGGAATGGCGATGACAGGCCCACTTTTTCCATGGATTTTCCTCCCAATAAGATTCTCCCTTACTAGTTTGTATCATGGGGGAGGAGATTCAGGAGTTTGGGGGAGAAGGTTTTAGATCATTTCTTTTATACCTTCTTATTGAGTTGCTGTATGATTTCTGTCCTAATGGAAGCTCAGTTAAAACCAAAGTAGAGGACTTCCCTTGCGGTCCCGTGGTTATGACTTTGCCTTCCAGTGCAGGGGGGCGGGTTCGACCCCCTGGTTAGGGAGCTAAGATCTCACATGCTTCATAGCCAAAAGACCAAGACATAAAACAGAAGCAATATTGTAACAAATTTAATAAAGATTTTTTAAATGGTTCACATCAAAAAATCTTTAAAAAAAAAAAAACAAAGTAGGAAGGGTCCTATCCTAATGTCCCCTTGTAGTGAATTTTTTAAAATAACCTTTGTAGAGGTGATTTACAAAGCATGTTCATGTTACGCAAGTGTCTGAAAGAAGTAAATCACAGAATGTTCCGTATCAGTCTGATTTTGCTCTAGTAACACTGCTTAACGAACCACCCCGAAAGTCAGAGGCTCACAGACATCATTTCTTCTTGGCTTACTCATCCGCAGGTTGGCTGAGGCCTGGCTGGCCCTGGCTGCATGTCTGCTCCAGGCACCCTCATTCTCCTGGACCAGTAGACCCCAGAGCATGTTCACCTCATGGTGAGGGCAGGTACATAGGAGGCAGGCCTGGCGCACATGCACGTGTGTGCCATTGCTCGAATGCCATTAGCCAAGTCAAATCTCATGACCAAGCTTAGGATCAACAGGGCGAGGATGTACCTGTCCATAAAGGTAAAGAGGAAGGGATGAATCTTTGCAAAACTATAATTTACCACAAGCCTGTGTATGTATGTAAAACAAGAATAACTGAAGTTGAACAGTGCTAGTGTTATAGCCACGCGTTCCGGGAAACAAACTCACTCAGAAGGACAATGCAGATAGTGGAGTGCAGTTTATTACACCGGCGGGCCCAAGGCAGAGTCTCCTCTTAGCCAAGGACCCCAACCAGCATTTGTGAAAATCTTTTATACCCCATGTATACGTGTCCAAACCCACCACCCCAAATTCCTTGAAACTTACATAAACAAAGGAAGGGTAAATACAACTACAATAGCCCCATCATTCACGTGTTATGTGTTCAAACAGTTAATAATCAATTAGCCCGCAGTTACATTCCAGACAGTTAATAATCAGTAAGCCCGTGGTCACGTTCCAACAAGTTAATAATCGATAAGCCTGTGATTACATCCTGATAGATACAGAAAAAATTTATGACCTGTCCAGAGGCAGGGGTGATTACGGTATGTTTTCTCTTAGGTGATGAGTAACCTGGATACGATCTTCAAGGTTCCCCTGTCCAGAGGGGGTCTTCTCCTTCCATTGTCGTTCCCACAGGCACTAAGCAGAGAGTTCAGAGTCCACTGGAGAGGTGGCCAAGCACGATCAGCACGGACAGGCCTCAGATTGAGTCCAGGCCCTATGAATTCCTTCTTCACTAGCAAAATTATCCTTTGAATATCAGTAGATGTTGTGACATCTGCTGCATAGGAAGTGAAAACGCATATGTGTGCCCTAAGACTTTCTTGTTTCCAGTCTAGTCAGCTGGCAACTTATTAGATGTAGACTTCCTTTCTTAGAAAGGAAACTCCTCTTTTTGATCATGTATTTTCTTTCTAAAGGGACTCTCAAGTGCCTTTCTTTCCACCATCTAAATAATTTCTCCCTCCTCAGTATGGCAGTGACCCGATCCAAAGACGCTCCTCCTTTCGGCCCCCCGATCCCCAGCGGAACCACATTCCGAAAATCTGACGTCTTCAGAGACTTCTTGCTGGCCAAGGTGATTAATGCCGAGAACGCTGCGCACAAGTCTGACAAGTTCCACACCATGGCCACCAGGACCCGCCAGGAGTACCTCAAGGACCTGGCGGAAAACTGTGTCTCCAACACACCCATTGACTCCACCGGCAAGTTCAACCTCATCTCCCTGACCTCCAAGAAGAAGGAGAAGACAAAAGCCCGGGCAGGCGCCGAGCAGCTCAGCGCCGGGGCCATCGCCTGGAGGGTGGCGGCTGAGGACTATGCGCAGGGTGTAGAGATAGACTGCATTTTGGGAATTTCCAACGAGTTTGTGGTGCTCCTAGACCTACGCACTAAGGAAGTGGTGTTCAACTGCTACTGCGGGGATGTCATCGGCTGGACCCCAGACTCCTCGACAATCAAAATCTTCTACGGGCGAGGGGACCACATCTTCCTCAAGGCCTCTGAGGGTTCTGTGGAGGACATAAGAGAAATTGTCCAGAGACTGAAGGTAAGGGAGAGAGACCCTCAAGGTGCAGCAGTTCTGTGGTCTGGCAAAGGCCTTAGGAACCACTGAAGTGCCTCCCTGAGCCCAGTCAGTTGGGCCAGGATACTCATCGGCCCCAAGAGAATCAGAATTGTCACTACATACCAGGGATCTAGTGAGTTCTGCAGCCTGGGTTCTCCCTGAGGAAGGCTTGGGCCAAAGATCTGAGGCTCTCCGTGTCATAACCTTGAGAGGACAAGAGGCTTATTTACTCACTCTAGATGTTTAAACTCATGTTAAAAATGTAAGGATATTTTCTAGAAGAATTAAAATATTGGATTGGCCAAAAAGTTCATTTGGGTTTTTCTGTACCTTCTGACGAAACACCGAATGAACTTTTTGGCCAACTCAACAGAATGGAAGACTTCCAGACCTTTAAAATACAGGGGTGGAAGCAGGATATTGGGGGTGGGGGTGTAAAAAAAGCATAAGAAAAAAACCCATAATTATGTGGCAGGAATAATTCCACGTCAGTAGTCACAATAAATGTAAGTGATTTAACATTCTTTGTTAAAGAACAGAGACTCACAGTCTAGATTAAAAAATCTTACCCTGACCTCTTGGCACCTCAGGCTCAGACAGCTGCCAAACCAAAGGTCGCAGATTGGTTTCAAGTCAGATGCCAGTTTAGTTGGTAATGGTTGTTGGAAGTGTTGGGCTAAGAAGTACTAAGGCTACCTCAGAGCCCTGGGTGAAGGAACGCTGTGGTCAGTGATTGGCTCTCAGTGGGTTTAACAGAATGTCAGGCATGAAATAGAGAAGGCAGTATATCACAGGAGTTAACAACACAAGTTCTCAAGTCAGAAGACTTGGCTTCAAGTCCCAGCACTGCCACATACCAGCTGTGTCACCTCACCACGTTACTTAAGCACTGGGTGACTCAGTTTTCCCATCTGAAAAATGGGAACAGTGATCATCCTACATCATACGAAAGTTTTAAGGACTGGATGAGTTACGTTGCCCAGGCAAGCTGGCCTGACGTAGGAGGCTGTGATCTCCAGAGGCCAGGATCACAGCCAGTTCTCTTCACCCTTCTCGGCTTTTGCACTCATTCTTTGAGTTCAGGTGGGATTAGTAAAAGACTAGCTTTCAGCTTCCCTGACTCCAAACTTCATGTCCCACCTTAAACTACAGCAACAGCTAGTGTGTAGATTTCCCATTAGGATGTGAGGTCTGTGAACAAGGGCCTCTGTTTTGCCCACTTGCTTATGGTGGTTATTAAATGCTGATTAGTCGATTAGCTGAATAAGATGATTGACCCCTGATTGTGTGCTCATGAGCGATGATCTCACAGCCCTCCACCCACCCTGTGGAGTGTAGGCACTGTTTTTATCCCCATTCCGCTCAGAGAGGTCACACAGCCAGTAGGTGGCAGACTGGGATCTGAATCCAGATTTTTCTGACTCCAAAACCTACTTATGCCCACACTTGAGACTAACGACTAACTGCTTACTCGACTAACTACAACTCAACATGTGAAAGTCAACATGTCTAAGAACAAGCTCCTGATTTCATTGCCCTTGCCTCCCGGGGTTCTCCTGTCTGATCAGAGAACAGGCCCCTCGCATGAGTGGAATCATGAGTAAGCCTCAGCACCAGCCTCAGTCCTCTGTCTCGCATACCGACGTCCAGTCTGTCGGCTCCACCCCCCAAAGGCAGACTCTACTACCCCTGCCCCTTCTGCAGCCCCTCCTGGCCTGTCCAGTAGCCTCCTCACTGGTCTCCTTTGCCTCCTTGCTTGCTTCCCTGGGGTTTGTTCTCGGGAAGGTTGTCAGAGGGATCTGATCTTGTGCCTGCTATGCTCAAACTCCTCAGCTCATCCTAGGTAAAAGCCCAGTTCCTATGGTGGCCCGTGAGGCCCTACATGGCCTGGCTGGCTGTCACTCTTGTCTCTTCATTACTCTCTCTGCTCCAAGAACACAGACTTCTATGTCCAGAGTGGGCTTGTCAGGCAGTCAGCCTCAGGGCCTTTGCACTGCCTCTGCCCTCTCGCTGGAACACGTTCTTCATCCCCACATGCCTCCCTCCCCTTCTGCATGTGTTTATTCAAAGGTCACCTATCAGTGAGGCCTTGTTATCCAGAATTGTAAAAACCCCCTCCACAGCCTGGCCTTGAGCTTATCCCGCCCACTGCCCCTGCTTTAACTTCACAGCAGCGCCTACCACCGTCTGGTGTGTGTTTTTGCATGTCTGCTGCGTCCTCAGCGCCTGGACCAGCGTCTCATGTGCAGCAGACACTCAGTGACCGTGGACTGCGTGCACGCATGCCTGCTGTCTGTGGTGACAGCAAGAGTGGCCACTCACAGGGCCAGTCATCTGACTCCTTGCAGCCTTGCACAGCCTTGCATTTCTTCTTCCCAAAACCCAGTGAGGGAGATACTATTATTAACTCAGTTCACGGGACACAAGGGTGATGAACTTCAAAGGGAAGAAGCGTTTTGACTCCCAAAGCGGTGGCTATGGTCTGGGATGAAGCCAGTCATGAGTTTCTCTTTTGAGGCACTAAACTGTAGACTTTCCTTTCAGACAAATTTGTTTTAACTTTTTAATCATGGAAAATTTCAAACAGACGCAAAAGTAGAGAAACTCACATTGTGAACCCCTAGTCTTATCACCAGCTTCCGTAGTTATCAGCCTGGGGCCCATCTTGTTTCTCCCTTTCCCTCTCTCCCTTCCCTTCCACTGATAATTTTGAAACAAATCCTAGATATCCTGTCATTTCATCAGTAAATGTGTAAATGTTTATCTCTAGAACATACAGCCTCTGAAAAATAACTTTTGCCTATTATATATAGAAAATGAATAGTAATTCCTTATTGACTTGTAAACATGTTGGGCCATGAAATCAATTACTGGATCTCAGTAGGCAGTTTTCAAAGACAGGGTAGAAAAGAATGACGCACTGAGGAGGCACTTGGTCTCATGGAGCCTTGTCCCAGTTTCACATGTTTCCTCACCTCCCAAATTCTCACTATCCAGACTAGCCAGGAACAGATGTGTTTACATCTTCAGGTAAGTCCTTCACCATCCACACTCGCTTCTTGCTGCCCACACTTGGGAACGTCTGTGTGGACTGCAAAGAATATTTTTGTGTGTGTGGATACGTGTGTAAGTGTATGATTGCACAGCGTGGCTTGTGACATGAGATTCTTACTGTGCAGCTCTAAAAGTACATCAGATAGCATCATTTCTACCCAGGGAATGCCTTCTCACAGAAGATGTCAACCATTACACAGATGCTTTCCTTAAGGCAGTTTTCAGGCAGGCAGATCTTGATGTAACTTGGTTAACAGCTCCGGCTTATTAAGTTAATCTTTTTATTTCAAGAAGAGAAGGGAATCCCTCAGGATATGCTGAAGCTCTAGGTGTTCTGTTCAGTGGCTTATCCTGTCTGTGGTCATAGTTAGCATGGCATAAGTCTCCCACAGGAAGAAGGGAATAAATCAGAAGGAAGGCCCTCCCTGTATGGTCTGCTTGGCTTCAGGATGGGGGACAGCCTGAGGCGGAGGTTCGAAAGGGGTTTTTGCCTTACAGAATGAGGTCCTGGAGTAAAGAATACGGCGCCGAGCCCCCAGCCTAGAAAAATTCACAGGGTCTCTGGTCTCTGGCTTCTCCAGCTTACTCTGGTTACAGTCACCGTATCCATCATGGCTTCAGACAACAAAGGTTTATCTCACTCATGCCATGTGTCCATCTCAGGTTGAGCTGGAGTCTGTGAACTCACAGACCTTAGCTGACCAAACAGGCGCTCTCTGGAATAATCCTAGTGGCCGTGGCAGAGGGCAAAGGCTTGAAGAGGGTCTCGAATTGGCAGTGAAATGCCCCAGCCCAGAGTATGCCAGTCCCATTCACAACTCATTGGCCAAAACAAGTCTTGTGCATGCATGCTAATTTGCTTCAGTCGTGTCTGACTCTTTGTGACCCCATGGTCTGTAGCCCTCCAGGCTCCTCTGTCCATGGGATTCTCCAGGCAAGAATACTGGAGTGGGTTGCTATTTCCTCCTCCAGGGGATCTGCGTAACCCAGGGATTGAACCCGAGTCTCTTATGTCTCTTGCATTGGCAGGCAGGTTCTTTATCACTAGTGCCACCTGGAAAGCCCAAAACAAGTTCCAGAGACCACCAACCATAGAGAGGGTGGGAGAGGGCATGTGGAGAGCACGACTCATGACCGCTGCCTCTGTATGAGGTGTCCATGTTTCTCCACGAGTCAGGAGCCCAGGCTCCTGTACCCTGACATCACCTGGGAAGGTGGAGGGGGAGAGGGGGCGTCTTTGGCCTCAAAAGGGCAGAATCTCCCCCCAAGAGCTGCCTCCGCTCCCCCCGAGCAGCTTGTGAAACTGGACCCTGTGTGTGGCCCACAGGTGATGACCAATGGCTGGGAGACTGTGGACATGACCCTGCGGCGGAACGGGCTGGGGCAGCTGGGCTTCCACGTGAAGTATGACGGGACCGTGGCCGAGGTGGAGGATTATGGGTTTGCCTGGCAGGCCGGCCTGCGGCAGGGCAGCCGGCTGGTGGAGATCTGCAAGGTAGCCGTGGTCACACTGACCCACGACCAGATGATCGACCTGCTACGCACCTCTGTCACCGTCAAGGTGGTCATCATCCCGCCTTTCGACGACGGCACACCCCGGAGGTAAGTCTGTCCCCCCTGGAGAGGTCGGCAGCTCCCTGGGCGCTGGCCCTTGGGACCCTTCCTCAGCAGGTGGTGATAATGGTGTCAGGGTCCAGGTCAACATCTGTGGAACCCCTCCTGCAGGCGGTCATGGTCTAAGCTCTGCATGTGTGTGCTGTCCCGTCTGGCCCCCACCACAGCCCCATGAGGTGGGCACCCTCCTTAGTCGCACATAGCATTCAAGTCCTTGCCTGAGGGAGTTCCCTGGCGGTCCAGTGCTTAAGACCGCTTCCACTGCAGGGGGCTTGGGTTTGATCCCTACTTGGGGACCTGAGATCCCATATACCCCGAGGCATAGCCAAAAATAGTGGGAAAAAAGACCTTGCCTGAAGGAACAATGTGCTTCATCATTTGTTCAGCACATATTTATTGAGCCCATACTGTGTACACACTCCATTTGAAGTGTTGAGTAGGATTTAGCAGTGAACAGAATAAAAGCACCCATTCCCTTGAGTTTGTGTCCTGACAGGCAGTCGTTAAATAGGTGTGTAACACAGGACCAGGCAGTGAAGAGCTCTGAGGAGAAAGAGCAGGGTCATAGAAGGGGCTAACAGGTGGTCAGGGGAGGCTTCTTGGTGGAGGCCGCCATGCGGTTTTCCAGGTCAGCAGCACCCAGACCATGGACAGGCCAGGGCAGGGTCTGCAAAGTGTCAGCGTCTGTGGGGGGGAGTTCCTGCAGCTCAGGGAGCGTGGTGTGGAGCCTGGTGAGCAAGGCTGGGCGTGGGGGCAGACTGGGGCCCTTCCTGGACACAGCGCCGAGCTTCAGATTTGTTCGCTGGGAAGCCAGTGCAGGATTTGTTTCTTTTTGTTTTGTTTTAATGGGATATTTCAAACATTTTTCTCTAGTGTTATTTATTTGATGGCATCGGGTCTTAGTTGCCGCACAGGGCATGTTTGTTGTGGCGCGTGGGCTTAGTTGCTCCCTGGCTTATGGCATCTTAGTTCCCCAACCAGGAGTCGAACCTGCATCCCCTGCCTTGGGAAGGCAGATTCTTGACCCCTGGACCACCAGGGAAGTCCTATATTTCAAGCATATTAATAGCATGCTAAGTCTCCTGTTTCAACATTTGTCAACATGTGGCCAGTTCTTATTTTGTTTTTGTTTCTTTTTAATCCCGTATCTCTCCCCCTTAGATTATTTGAAGCAGTCTCACTCCTTCGATTGTATCTCTACTCAGTCAGGACCTTTAAAAAATTTAACAGACTGTCTCAACTCCCCCATCCATCTTTAACTTCTTTTGTACCAGAGAGAGATTTTTAAAAAGCAGTTGCTCTGTTCATCAGGCTTTTCCTGTGGCATTTGGTTGATGAGTCTCTTTTTTAAAAATCTTATTTTTTTTCTTACGGTTTGTTTTGGGAGGAAACCGGGCCACTTGTTTTTCAGAGTTTCCCGCTTCCTGGATTTAGCTGCTTGCATTCTCCTGGTGTCCTTTAACCTGTTCTTCTAGCACGTGTATTTCCTGCAAACTGGAGTTCGGCTTAAAAGCTTGATTGGATTCTGGTTGAATTTCCTTTTGTTTTTTTTCCTTAAGATTTTTTTTGATATGGACCATTTTAAAGACTTCATTGGATTTGTTACAATATTATTTCCGGTTTATGTTTTGCTTCCTTGGCTGTGAGGCATGTGGGATCTTAGTTCCTCAACCAGGGATCAAACCCACCTTCCCTGGCTTGGAAAGCGAAGTCTTAACTGCCAGTAAGGTCCCTGAACTTGTCTTGGTCACAGCACTTCCCAGGTGTACACCCATCAGGAGGCACCACATATCTGGCTGTCCCTGTGTACTAGGGGTGGTCAGAAGGTTCCGAGGGTGGCAGCCTGACCCTAAATGCTATACGTTTCCCCTCAGCTCTCAGCAGCCATTTGTGATCCTTGTCTGGGTCCCCTGTGTCATGACAGGTGACACTCAAGTGATGTCCTCAGTTCTATCCTTCCTTCTTTATTTTTTAAAAAATGTATTTATCTATCTTTGTGCTGCGTCTTCGTTGCTGCACAGCAGGTTTCTCAAGTTGCCATGAGCGGGGGCTGTTCTCTAGTTGCAGTGCATAGGCTTCTCATCGCAGTGGCTTCCCTTGTTGCGGAGCACGGGCTCTAGGGCACGCGAGCTTCAGTAGTTGCTGCTCCTGGGCTCTGGGGCACAGCGTCAGTAGTTGGGGCTCACGGGCTTAGTTGCCCCTCAGCATGTCGGATCTTCTCAGACCAGGGATTGAACCCGCGTCCCCTGCCTTGGCAGGCGGATTCTTAACCACCAGTCCACCAAGCAAATCCTTTCTTCATTTATTGGCTGGAATTCTTCCAAAAAGAACATTCCTTCAGCAACCATTTGATTCCTCTCAGATATAATTTGTTCAGGGAAGGCAGGATAGATGTGATTCTGAGAAGAATGAATTGGTACCCTAGCAACCTCCAGCGATGACTTAGAAACAGTGGTTCTAGAATCACTACATCTCAAGTGCCAGAAGCACAGCTGCACAGAGGACAGTCCGGGCCTGGGCTGATGAATGGATTGGGGAAGACAACCAATAAGAAAGTAAGCCAGTGAGATGGTTCACATAGTCCAAGCAGTAATCACTGGGCATATCGGGAAGGCAGACCTGCAGGGAGGTTGCCTGTGTTTGAATCCAAGCTCCTCGTCTTATTAACTGTGACCCTGGGCGAAGGTCCCCGCCACTCTGTGCCTGTTTCCTCATTTATAAAACAGGGACGTTAATGGAGCTTTTGCCCAGAGGTGGCTGTGAGGTTGGAGGAGGGGAGGCCCACAGCACACAGGACAGGACTTGGCCTGTAGGAGGCACTCAGAGGACACCAGCTGTGAGGTCCTGGGTGTGAGGCGCATTAAGGGCCGGACCTGACGTTGGACTCGGGGGTCAGGGCAGGCCTGAGGGTGGGAAGGAACCAAGAGACAGGCCCCGTGGGGAGGGGAGGGTAAGAACAAGAGGCCCTTGGATTGTTGACGGACCAGAAAGAGGGTCACGTGGCTAGAACAGGCGAGCCAAGAGAAAGGCACTCGATGAGGGGATACTGAGAGCTTATACGCATGACCTCCCAAGGCTGGTGTGATCCCCGTTTACAGATCAGAAAACTGACAGCCAGAATGGGTCACTGCCTTGTGCAGAGTTGCGTGGCTAAGTGGCAGAGTGGCTCATTTGCTCTAAGTGGCAGAGTAGAACTCAATCCAGGTTTCCCCTCTCTGTGTATTCTGCTGCCTCTCAAAGCAGTCTCGAGCTGTCGGCATGTGAGTCCTGGCTGCACCCTCCCACCTTCTTGAGTCTTGCTTGCTCTGAACTTGGTGGGGACAGTTCTGGGCAGGGTTCAACCCTGCCACAACCCAGGGCTTAGCCACCCAGGTACCAGTCCCCTAGCCTTGGGACTCCAGTCAGGCCCCAGGCGCCCCCTTCTCCCAGCCCTCTTCCGGGGCCGCCTCCACCCCTGCCCGGGGCCAAGGCCGGGCCACACCTCGCTGAGCTCTGCAGGGGCAAGTCAAGCTGAGGTAACCCTTCTGCCTCGTTGCATACACACACAGACACACACAGACACACACAGTAGCAGCCCGCCTGTTCTATGACTTTGCAAAGCTCGGGAGCACCAGAGGCCACACAAATGTCCTTGGACCTGCAGGTAGGGACCAGCCGGGTGAAAGGCAGCATCTGCAGGCTCCCTTATCCAGTTCTGGGGAGACGAGGCCAAGGAGGGTGTGACCAGACAGACGGGGTCCACTTCCTGCCCTGTTTAGGAGGAAATCTCTCATCCGGCTCCCTTTACAAGGCGGCCACCGAGACGGGGCAGGTATGGGTGGGGACTTGTGTGGTGTGTGTGGTTCTTCAAGCACAGAGGGGTCTGGCTGACCTCAGTTGCAGAGCTGATACCCCAGCTCTGCGGTTCCTCCAGCCTCTTGCTATGACCCTGGCCTCCTAGCCCGGGTGTCACGATAAGCTCTGAGGGGCAGCACGCCAGGATGAGCCCAGGCATTCTCCCTGCCACCGGCCAGGCTCTGTAGGGCCTGGGTCTGGACCCCAGGCTCTTCAGACACTGCATAGAGTAGAGCGGGTCATACTCACACCCCCAGACCATGAGGCTGGGGTTCTCTAGTGAGCCCTGCCCAGGTGGGCCCGGTAGCCTGGAGGGACGTCCCAGAGCCCCCGGTGCTGTGTGTCATGGTGACCTGGCATGTTTGTACAGGCTCCTCTCACTGTCCTGCCTGATGGGGAAGCTGATCCAGGACGCCTTTGGCCCTTGATTTGGATTCAAGACATCTGAAGGGGGAGGGGGTGCTCCTCCCTGAGAAGGGGAATTGAAAACCCCACAAGTGAGTGAGTTGGAGAAAGAGAAAGGAGTCCCCATGGCCTCCAGAAACTAGGCTACTGGGAATCAAAGAGGAGGCAGATAGGAAAAGTGGTCTGCAAACCTGGCATCCATCACCAGGCGTCTTCCGCGCATGGCTGAGAGGCTGGAGAGGGACTCTGTGTGGCATTGTTGGTCGAGCAAAAGACTAGAAGAAACCTAGGTGTCCAGCCATAGGAGACTGGCTAAGTAAATCCCAGGTCACCCTTGTGATGGAGTAGTAATTGATTGTTTACAGAAAATGCAGTGAGTCAAGAATATGTAAAAACCTGGCGGCTGTGGGTGCTTCTGGTGAGTGTAACTGGTGGACAGAGATGTCGTCTAATAACACTTTAATTTTTAAAAACAATCCCAAAACTGGATCCATGAAAGGAGCTTCTTAAACTTTCTCGTGTCAGCATCATCCCTGGCAACTTGGTAAAATGCAGCTTCCTGGGCCCCGCCTCAAAGAGGACTGTGATTCAGAGGAGCTAAGATGGGCCCAGGCATCTGCTTTCCTTTACTGAGCACTCGGGGTAATCTAGATGCTGATGGATCACAGGGAAAGAATTTGTTCCAGAGCCCCCAGGTGGGTGTGGCTGGACTTCAGAAAATGGAAAGAAGGCTTCAGCTTTTGAGCTTGTGGGAATGGCAGGCAGAGTCCACAGAATCAGCTGGAGAAGGCGACCACAGCAACAGCTCATATGTGTTAAGCACTTGGCATGAGCCAGGAGGCTTGCTACCACCCCCATTTTGCGGATGAGGAAACAGGCTCTGAGAAGGAAACTCCTGCACCCAAGGCTACATGGGCCATAAGCAGCAGAGCTGTGATCTGAACCAGCTGTCTGCCTGCGGAGCCCTGGCTCTCCGTCACTCTGTGCTGCCCTCCAATGATTGTTTCCCTCTATGAGGTCATGCCCAGGGACTCTTGGCCAAAGGTGGAGCTGTCAGTAACAGGGGCAGAAGTCACGGGCCCACGGAATCTACCCACTGGCTCCCAAACCACTGTCCCAGTGAGCTAGTGTATATGGTGGTTAAAGTTGTGGGCTTTCGGGTCAGCTTACTATCTTTAAATCCAGTTTCTGGGAATTCCCTGGTAATCCAGTGCTTTCACTGCCAGGACATGGGTTCAATCCCTGGTCAGGAAACTAAAATTCTACAAGCCACATGGCACAGCCAAAAAAAGAAAAAAAAAAAAAAAGGATAAATCAATCAATTCAGTTTCTACCTCTTACTGGCTGTGTGACCTTGGATAGATTACTTAACTTCTCTGTGCATCAATTTGCTTTTCTCTTCAGTGTATCTACTGATAACAACCAGCAACAGAGATGAAGCAAAAGAGAGACTTTACTGGCTAATGCACCTAAGAAGACCGGGAGATAGGGCAAGATTGAAATGTGGCTTTATGCAGGGTCTTGGACATCTTCATCAAGAATCTCTCTCACCTGTCTCATTTTCTGCGTTGCTATCATTCTCAAGCCACCTCTTCCTCATCACAGCGCCAGCTTAGGTCTCCCCAGCTCAGCAGCTCAGTGAAATAGATCCTTTTCTTACCACCTACCCCCGACCCTTGCCCACCCCCCACCTCGCAGCAGTTCCAGAGTTGATGCTCACTGTCTTTGATTGGCTCAGCTTGGGGCACCTGACAATCCTGTGCCTGTCATCTCAAAGAAGCGCTTCTTATTGGCTGGCCTGGGTCACATGCTCATACCTGGAGCCAGGAAGTGGGATCCACCCCACCCAGTGCACACAGACCTGTTCTCAGGAGAAGGGGGTGTAGAAGCTAGGCAGGCAGGAGCAGCGGGTCCATGGTGGTACCACCTCCACCTGGGCCTGGCAGATCTGCAGGTCCTGTTAGGTGTTAGTATGCTGTCATTCCTCACCTGGCACCTGCTGAGGCGTGGGCACCTACTGATCCAGAGAAGCTGCTGGAAGGCGCTACTGAATATCAGCTCCAACTCCAGTGCTGCCGAGGGCACTGTGTGTCTGGCCCAGGTGCCCCATTCCTGGGTCACTTTCTGATGCCTCCTTAGCAGACATGACCTGGGTCCACAGCCACCACGACCACCAGATCTTTTGCCGGGTGACCCTGAAAGTGCCCTGGGCTCCAGGGGGCTCAGGAGAACCCCAGAGGGTTGGCTTAGTGTGGGCCTGACAGCTTCCAGGCCCAGGGCTCCTACCAGCTCGGCTCCCACAGCTGCTGAGAGGTGGGTTTTGTGAGCACGGCCCCCTGCTCGGGCTCAGAGCCCCCTCCCATGCTGCACTGCAGTGGAGGTGGAGGACTCCAGCCCAGCCTGCGGAGCCCCCCGCCCTGAGCCAGGAACATTGCAGTGTGTGTGTCAGCCTGGTCTAGGGGGAGTCACAGGCCGTTCTGCATCTATTTCAAGGTTCTGGATTTTTCGTGCCTTTTTTTTTTTCCTAACCACCCTGCAAAGTAGGTCACCTGCTCCTCTTCCAGCTGCCTTTGAGCTTCTTTGGAACAAGGCAGATACTGTCCTTTGATGCCGAGGGCATCCGCCTTTCTGGCCCTGAGTACTGCCAAGGGAAGGCGGGGGGGCCGTGCCAGCCTGAGGAGGACATTGGCCAGCTGGAGGCCTGGGTCAGGTGAAGGGAGAGACAGGGAGAGAGGAAGAGGAGGAGACGAGGAGATGGAGTAGAGTGTGCCCAGCAGTCGGGGCCACTGTGCTGGACCCTGTCTGGGTTGAGGACACAGAGCTGCTCCATTTCAGACCAGTTTGAAGGGTCCCCACTCGGCCTTTAAAACAGAAGACTGTTCAGATCTGGGCTGCAAAGCTGCAGCCCTGCGCGCTGGTGGGCCAGGGCCTTTTCTGAGTAACGATGTTTTCCTTCCCAGGGGGTGGCCGGAAACATATGATATGAATACCTCGGAGCCCAAGACGGAGCCGGAGGGCCTGGCCCCGGGGGGCAGGCCCCCCTACCGCAGCAATGCTCCCTGGCAGTGGAGTGGGCCCGCGTCCCACAACTCTCTCCCGGCCTCCAAGTGGGCCGCCCCCGCCACCCCCGGACATGCCCAGTCCCTGAGCCGGCCCCCGAAGCAGACCCCCATGGTCCCCTTCCGGGAGTCCCAGCCCCTGCACAGCAAGAGGTAAGGACACCCCCACCCCCAGCCCCATCCAGGGGTGCCAGCCCAGCCCCCACCTCCCTCCTTCCTTGAGTCCGCTGCCTTCTTCTCTCTCCTCCCCCTGTTGTCCGGTCTCCTCCTCTCCCTTACCTTCTCATTCTCTTGCCCCTCCCTTCCTCCTTGCCTTAAACTTGCCTTATGAGCCTCTGGAGCGTGGACATAGCTGGGGCGCTCAGCGCCTGCGGTTGGAAATCCACCCTACTATGTGTGATTAAAACCATATATTTGTTTTAAAGGTCAAGGGACTGATAAGCACAAACTTTAGGAGAGTGATTACTTCTGGGGGAGACAGGGAAGTGGGGCACGGAGGAGCCCACCCATGGGTACTCATGGCTCCCGTTCTAGCTCTCGGGTCGGGTGGTAACTTCAGGTAGTTTCTTTTATTATGATGGCATGTACCTTACAGATAAGCGCTTTTGAATATATTATATATTTAAAAAAGTAAAAATTTCTAAGAAATGAGAGAATACAACTTGCAGAGGAGAGTCTTGTCCCAGGCATGGGTAGCCCGTCCAGCCTCTGTCAGGCTTCAGATGCTGAGGGGTGGGCTCAGTTGTGGTGGGAAGGAGGGAGGGGGTGTCCTGGCCTCCCCAGCCCTTCGCTCAGCAGCCCTGCCTCCATCCCCTCAGAGGAGAGCAGGTGAAGGCCACAGGTGTGGCTGGGCCGCAGGATTGGGCCCGGCTCTCCTCCTCGCTCACAGCCACCCGCTTCCTCTTTCCTGTCTCTGTTCCAGGCCTGTCAGCTTCCCTGAAACCCCTTACACAGCGTCACCAGCAGGGGTCGACAAAGTCCCTCCCTACCGACAGCCTTCTGGGAGCTTCTCCACCCCCGGCTCAGCCACCTACGCGAGATACAAGCCATCCCCAGAAAGGTCAGACTCTCTTCTCTCTTTCCCGTTAAGGAATCTGATGAAAGCCAGCATCCTTCTTCCTCGGAAGATGCACTTACCTGACATACAGGTTTATTTGCCATTTTATGGGGCTCCTGGGTTCCCCAGGGTCCTCAGAGGCCCGCTGGGATGGAGGGCTGTGTGTGTTAGGATGTGGGACCAAGCCAGCCTGGCCAGGACGTGCCCTGCTGGTCATCACAGCAGCATTTAAGTTGCCATTTTTCTCAATGCCTGAATCTCTTGTCTGAGCACACCCCTTGCAACGCAGCTGGTATCTGCCTCCAGCCCGTGCTCCCCCCACACCAGGCCCCCAGCATTACCCAGTTTTCAGGGCCAGTCAGGCTTCAGTCCTGTCCCCTTCCCCAGTCTGGCAGCCAAGGGGATCTTCCCAACTCCTGCCTGGCTCCCTGTGCCCTTGGAATAAACCCAGTTTCTCTAGCTTACTCTCCGGAGGCTTTCCACTCCAGTGCCCTTGAACCTTCCTTCTCCCCTGGGGTACCTGTCTGAGGGGTGGCCACACCACTCCCCTGTCCTCGAGCCAGAGCCGTGCACCTCATCCTGGATGCCTCCCCTCCCCCCTCCCTCTGCTGCAGCCCATCCCTTCAACCTCTTGAGCATCTCTGCGCCCGCCCCCTGCTCCTTTCCCCAGTGCGCTGCCCTGGCCACCTCCCTGAGCCCCCAGCCTCCGTGCCACCTCGTCTAGTCCACCCCCTATTCAGTTGCCAGGGGGTCTTTGTCTGGCCACATCTATCCCCTGCTCCACACCCCACCCCCACGTGTCCCAGAGCTCTCATGACGCAGCCTCCACGCTTCAGTGTGGCCACCGGGGCCCCTCCCCTGCCTCTCCAGCCTCGTGCAGTGCCCTGCACATCAGCGTCCCGAGCCCCTTCTCCCATCCAAGTACTAACCAGGCCCATCCCTGCTTAGCTTCCAACATCAGACAAGGTGGGGCGAGTTCGGGGTGGTATGGCCGTAGACCCCAGCCACTTCTGATCTCCTAGACAGGCTGTGTGCTTTTCAGATTCCTCCCTGTGTTCTTCCCTCCACCCGGAAGTTCTTCATGATCTTCACCCCCCACAGACTCCTATCCACTCTTCCAGCGTGAGTGCTGATGCTCCTCCAGGAAGCCTTCCCTGTACCCCCACCTCCCATACAGTGACATCCTGCCCCCTGTGCCTTTCACTTCCATTTATCTTTCCCTGACGATGGCCTTGAGTCCTCTCCATCCTGTTAGCCCAGGGAAGTGTGTGTGCATGCATATTCATGCATGTGTGCATGAACAGGCTTGCTGCTCTCCAATGTATAACACTTTTCTTCTTAGGAGCACCATCACACAGCTCAGGGCTGGTAGATCCTTGGTATATATTTGATGAAAGGATGGAGTAAGTGAGTTAGTTTAAATAGCATGCCTCAGACTCACCCAGAGGGAGGACTTGTTAAAATACCGATGACTGGGCCTCACCCTTGAGTTTCCAGCTTGGTAGGACTAGGGTAGGACATGTGATTCCAAGGCTGCCAGCCCAGGGAACACACTTCGAGAGCTACCACACTAAACCACTGCTTGATTATAAGCCTCTGTTGTAAAATTGGGGGAAACACACTCTTTCATCTTCTGGTAGCCACCATTCAGCTCTCAACTGCAGTGGATCCCAAGAGCCCTCTGTGTTGCGGGTGTCAGGAGAAATATTTGAGATACTTACCCCAGGGGTTCCTGTTATCAGCACCTGCTATGGTGAGAGAAGGTCTCAGAAGGGATGCACACTCTGCCAAGAGCTCTGATAGACTCAGGCCTTGAATGAGTGAGCTCAGCCCAACCCTAGGTCTAAGCTGGCTACCCAGAGCAGGTGGTATCTGAATAGGACTTTGAGAGATGAATAGGAGTTTGCCGCAGAGAAGAGGGAGAAAGTCATTCCAGACAGAGCAGAGGCCACAGACATCAGTAAGCAGAACGGTGTGGAATGTAGGAGGATTGGAGAGGGGTCTGAGGTGTGGGGGCACCTGGGTGGCAACAGTGGCTGAGGCTAGAAGTGGCAGTTGGCATGGAGCCATCAGCCTAGAATAGAGGTGGTGGGGATGATGCTATTGGTAATTCCAAGGAGCTTTTTTTTCCCCCTAAAGTCCTGGTTGTCCCCCCTCCTATCTTATTGCTTTTAAACTATTTGAATAATTTTAGATTCACAAGAAGTTTAAAAGAAACAAGTATAGAGCCCTCCTTGAATCCTTCACCCAACCTCTCCAAATGTTAACATCTTGTATAACTGATACAATATCAAATCAGTTGACATTGGTACAATCCACAGTGCTTATTCAGAATACACCAATTACCTGTGTGTGTGTAGCAGTGTGGAGTTTTGTCCACAGTTAAGACTCAACTGGGCCATCACCATGAAACTCCTTCTGGCTATCCCTTTATAGCCACACTCATCCCCTCCCCCATCCCTCTGGCAACCAGTAATCTTTTCTGGGTCTCTTACTTCATGAATGCTATATAAAAGGAATCACACAGTATGTGCCCTTTTGTAATTGTTTTTCTCTCAATTGAGAGTCATCCACATTTTTGCCTGTATCTATAGTCAAATCCTTATTATTGCCAAGTTGTATTCGGTGGTGTGGTACCATTGATGAATATTCAGGTACTTTCTGGATTTGGGCTGTGCAAATATTCATGCTCTGAACATGCGTGAAAATAAGTTTTCACTTCTCTGCAATAAATGCCCAAGAATGCAGTTGCTTGCCAAAATATAGAAACAACCTAAATGTCTGTTGACAGATGAATGGATAAAGGAAATGTGGTGTAGTATACACAATGGAATATTATTCAACCATAAAAAGAGGAAATCCTGCCATTTGCAATAATGTGGATGAACCTTAAAGGCATTATGTTCAGTGAAATAAATCAGAAAGACAAATACTGTGCAGTATCACATGTGGAATGAAAAAAAGTCAAACTCAAAGAAACAGAGTAGATAGAATGGTAGTTACTTGGGGGTGGGGGCAATGGGACAATGTTGGTCAAAAGGCACAAACTTTGAGTTATAAGATGAATAAGTTCTGAGGATTTCACGTGTCGCGTGGTTGGCTGTAGTTAATTCCGTACTGTACAGTTAAGATCTGCTAAGTGGGTAGATCTTAAACATTCTCACCCCAAAGAAAGATAACTATTTGAGATGTTAGATGTGGTGATTGTGGTAATCATTTTATAGTGTATACATATATTAAATCATTACATTGTACAACTTTAAGTGTATTATGATTTTATTTGTCACACCTCAGTAAACCTGGGGGAGTGTGGGGAGATGTTTCTCCAAGTGCTACTTACTCAACAAGTTGAGAGCATTATTATTTCAGTGAAAGGGTGTGCTGACCATTCTGTATTGTGTGTAGAAAAGTGTTTAGGAAAAAAAAGAAAAGAATACAATTGCATAATGTGTGGTAAGTCCATTTTTAGTTTTAAAAAGAACTGCCAAACTATTTTCCAGAGTGGTCGTACCATTGTACATTCCCACTGGCAAGCTGTGAGTCATCCGGTTTCTCCCTGGCCTCATCACTATCTGGTGTCATCGCCACTTTTCACTTTAGCTATTCTCATAGGTGTGTGATGATAGCTCATTGTGGTTTTAATTTGCATTTCTCCAGTGGCTAATGATGTTGAACATCTTTTGTGTTTCAGTGTTTGTATATACTAGACGTAAGTCCTTTGTCAGCTCTGCGGTTTGCAAATACTTCCTCCCATCAGTCATTAGTTTGTCTTTTCATCTTGTTAACAGAGTCTTTCTTTTTAATTTTGGTGAGATGCAAATTACAATTGTTTTCCCTTTATGGATCCTGCTTTTGGTGTTAAATCTTAGAACTCTCCTAGTCCCGAGTCCTGAAGACTTTTTTTCCTAGAAGTTTTTCCTTTTTTTTTTTTTTAGCTGCACCACTTGGCATGTTGGGATCCTAGTTCCCTGACCAGTGATCAAACCCATGCCCCTTGCAGTAATCTTCACCACCGACCCACCAGGGAATTCCCCTCCTAAGAAATTTTTATTGTTTTATATTTTGCATTTAAGTCCATGGTTGACTTTGAGTTAATCTTTTAAAGCTAATTTTTTCATAGGGTGAAAGGTTTAGGTTGAGATTCCTTTTTTTGCCTGCCAGTGTCCAGCACCATTTATTGAAAAGGCTCCTTCTCTTCCACTGTCCTGCTTTGCTCCTTAAAGCAAAAGCTCATTGGAAGGGGAAATCAACTGGGCACATTTGTGAGGTTCTGTTTCTGTGTTCTCTGGACTGTCCCGTTGAGCTATATACATGATCTCAATGAGTTGTTTCTATCAATTCCATGAGGTGGGTAGCATGTCCCATTTTACAGAGGGAGAGGGAAAACTGAGGCTCAACAAAGTGGATCCACTTGGGCGGGATCACTTTTCCAGGAACCTGGGCCTATGTGATTCTGAGGGACCAACTCTGACCCAGAGCTCTCCTCTTGCCTGTCCACAGGAATGGTCCCTGCAGCAGCCCCCACCCCCACAGTGACACTTGGTGGCTGTGATTCTGTGTTTCAGGCTCTCTGGCATTGGCAAGTAGAAAACACTCTTTCCCCTCAGATTCCAGCTCCTCCCAGCCCATCCCTCTCTCCCCAGGGCTCCCTGATGCTGCTCTCTGTGGTCTCAGTATTTTTCATCTCTGACCGCCAGCCAGGTTCCAAGTCCTGCCAAACATTCCTAGCATACCTCAGCCCCTGAACCCCCCAAGTGTTTCTCGTGGCTGGTCACCAGCCAGCCTTAGGAGGCCCTGGAGCAGGTTGGGCTGCCCCAGTGGCCTTTGGCCTCAGCTCCTTTCCCTGTTTCCTGTCGCACAGTTGACATCCTGGAGCCTGTGGGACCCAAGCCAGGCATTCCAACCCAGCCACAGACGTTTCCCCCTTCTGGACTCCTCTGTCTCCTGCTGTCTTCTCCTGCGGGCCTTGACCTGCCAGATTCATCAGGTTTTCAGGAACTCCG